TCTTCCATCTCCGTTGACATCTTTTGTCTGTTGTCATTTCTTCTGCCATTCTCCTTGTTCTTTTTTAATCCTTTAATATCATTTTAGTGTGGTTTACAGAGGGAACATATATAAATGCATCTGTTCAATCCACCATGTTTAACTGGAAGCCTTTGTGCTGACTGTTTGTAAAGCATGATTGGGTATTTTTTTAAAAAAATATCATCACACCCATTTCTCTTTTGTCATTCAAAGTTATCTGCAGGTAAGTCTGATTAACTAATTAGAATGGATTTTTTTTTTTAAGTGGGGACAACACCTAGTCCTAAGCAAGACTGTAAAGCTGATGAGATTCACATCGAATGTTTTTAGCTTGCCCATTCTTTTGCCATTTTCCCCACTTGATGGCACCCTTCTCCAATATCCATTATCTTCATGGTCCCTCCAGAAACTAGATGGGGTAGTGGGGTGTGCGGAACAAATGTGCCTGGGAACTTATTCATACTAGAATGCAAATGATTGACAGCATTATAATGGTATTTGTATAATGGTACTTCCCAGTATACAAAAACAATGCAACTCCTCAGCTGAAATTAAGGTAAACTGGAATTTCCAAAGATGTGTTTTAGAAACTTTCTCTGGGAGCAGGAATGTGTTGGGAGGAGTGAAGTAGGGCAAAATGAGCAAGAAGGGACAAAGAAAATGAAACGGCAATGAAAATCAGAGACGAGAGATTGGCGATAATGTCCTATTTCAAGAGATTTTTTTTCCTTCCTATACATGCAAATCTTGAAAATGCCAGGGTAAAAACATTAAGAAAACAAAGTTCTATGGTCTTCAGAAGTTATAACAAGAGATATGGCACTGGGAAAATGTAAATATCTTAAAATTTCTTACATGCCTGGTGAACAAATTATAAAAATGTGTCCCAAATTCCATTTATGCTCCTACCTAATATTAATTAGTGGCCTCACTTTTCTGATGAATGACATTAGTAGCCAGAACACTCAGATTTCAGATCAGAGAAATTAAATTTTTTTGACTACTCCAGCAACAATATAAAGGAAAAGAAGCCATTATTTACCAGAAAAATAGCATCGTTTTTTGACATGACAATCAAGGAACTCTAGTGGCTACTGGAAATGATGACTGGGCCTTTCTAGGTACATGATCTCTAAGGGGCTTTGGCCAGCACAAGCAGAGAATGAAGCTGTCTTCAGAAAAAAAAAAAAAGAAACACTCATGCATCAGCCCTACTGAGCTTCTTAAAGTATGTTTAGATATACATGAACAGGAATTCTAATTTGCTCATTTATAAAACAAAGAGATTGGCTTAGGTTTGTGGTTCCCAGTGCAGGCATGTTAAGCGACTTCCCTCTGTCATTAAATTTCCACCAGTCCACAGCATAGCAAGGAAATAAGGGCTGTGTAACAGCTGTCCATGAAGCCAACTTTTCTCAATTTAAACAACCGTCCTCTATTTTGAAATTGAGTCCCACCTTTTATGAAAGAGTGATGAAAATGGACAGCAGTTTTTCTTTACTTCCTCCTTCTCCTCTCCCTACTGTTAAATCTTGGTTAGCAAAATTTAAAACTTAAAGGATTTGCATTGGACACCAACATTTATAAGATTTTAAAAATGCAAACACCTGCTGATCAATGATAGCTAAAGCTTCTGCCAATATTTATGCAAATTAACTCAAAACAGTCCTCCAATTTTTTTACACCAGAGAATCTCAACATAGTTATTTTAAACCTCAGTCTTTCTCTTACATTGTTAAACTTCTATGTTGGTCTATGTTTAAATTATGGGTAAAAACCATTTAAAATGCATCAAATACTCAATCGAAGGTCAACATTGGTAGTTCTAGGGTCCACCTAGATGCTTGGTGATGGCAGACTAGTTGAGAGGAAAGCTACAGGAATTGCCTTTAAAATGAATTACACAGTAAGCACACTTTGCTTAAATTGTATGTTACAGATTAATGACGATAGCAGTAATAGATCTCTAGACATTTTTATTCATTCACTCTATTTGATTATAAGAAAATGTCAATCACCTGTAACAAAGAAGAACAACAAGTATATGAAATCACTTTAATATGCAAGTGAATATAGTGATGCTTTCACTTTGTTTCATGTGTGTGTGTCCCCCTCCCCCACCCACTCTCTGGTATTGGAGCAAGTTCTCCCTGGCTAATGACATCAAGCTAATCTCCATGAGGGTTGGCAGATCTAGTGTCCGTGCTTGATAAGAACAGGCGTTTTATAAATCTTTAATCTTAAAGATCACATTTACTCTAAAAGTACTAAATGAGGGCTCACAGACTTGAGCCGCTCTCCGGGATCTGCAATTCACCTTGGACTGTTGCCAAATAACTTCACCTCTTTGTGCCCTCAGCCTCCTGGTCTATAAGTGGGGAGAATAATATCTCAGTAGATCCTCAAGACACTCGTGAGGTAGATAACAGTCAGGAAAATTCTTTGAAAAATATGAAGCATAAAATGTTTAAAAGGTTATTTAAAATACTTAAAGGTATGCTCAGATTCAATAAACATCATTTCCTGACTTAGGACTTCCAGAATATATCCTTATTTGTGTACAGCATTCAATTCAAATACCATAAATTACTATGAATTTTTATTTATTCAGGTACAACCACTAGCTTTTCCATTTACTCCCAGTTACTTGTATCTCCACCAACACAGTGACCTCCACCAACCCAGAAACCACAGACAAAAGTCTGTACTTTCTAAAAATGGCTCCATGAGGCAATTCCTTCATGATGGTTAATGAAAGTCTATGTTGCCCTACAAAATGCCACTAAAAGTTCTAATCTAACTTTTCTATGGAATTTCTTTTCCTAGTCCATTGTTCAGTTTACTGTGAGAAACCAAATGATTTCAAGATCCAGAAACCAAATAGAGAGAAGACAGTGATTCATCTGAAGGAATACTAGCAGCTACAAATCCATTAGCAGCTGGATTTAGGGACCTCCAGCAGTGGGTTTCCCAATATTTCAAGTATGAGAACTCTGTTTTAATGTTCAGATCCCTCCACAACTGAAAATTATATAATGACCAAAAAAGAAACTATAAAATTAGTGGTGCTTTTGAATTTGTATTTTTCTAATCATAACGACATCTGTATACATTTGAGAATTAGCACACAATGATTGGTAAGCATAGAGTTGGAGAAATTTCACCAGTTTTTGACTCATACGACGGCAACCACTGTCTCACAGCTAACTCTAGCCACGTTTTTTACCTTCCGATAGAAAATAATGAATTTCCCTCTTAAAATGAGAGAGAATAATAAAAATTCAGAAATTGATGTAGCAAGTTTCTGCCTTATTGGTTGTCTTTTTAAATCTGGGAACTGACTGGTTTTTAATCCAAGCGATCTATTGTTAGGGAAAAAAAATCTTGGCAAGTTGTTGAATCTTTTAAAAGTCATAAGGGGAACGTGTTTACTGTCTGTGACAGTGGTTCTCAACAATGTCTGATTTAACAACTCTTTTTTATAAGGATTATGCTGTAATGACTCCCTTTGATAGCCTATTTTATCTACCGAGTGAAATAAACCATCCTAAACAGCAATATATGACTTCTCCTGATTCTGTGGGTTGACTGGGCAGTTCTGCTTGACAAAGTAACGGCAGCTGGGGCTCTGGGCCCCTAAGAAGTCAAAGTGGCCTCACTCACATAACTGAGCTGGCACTGGCTGCTAATCCGGAGCTCAGCTAGGGCTGCTGGCCTAGGACCACCCTTTTCTTCCAGGTCAACCTCTCATGTGGCTTCTCGGGCTTCCTGGTAGCATGGCAGCAAGGTTCAAAGAAAGAGCATTCCTGGAAGCAAAGGTGGAAGCTGCAAGCCTCTTAAGGCCAAGCCCCAAACTTACACAACATTATTTCACTGCATTCTATTGCCAAAACAGGTCACAGGACCAGCCCACATTCAAGGAAAGGGAAAACAGATCCCACCTCTTGATGTTGAAATGGCGGTTATATTCGATGTACATATGGGGCGGGCGCGGGGGATCACACCTGTAATCCCAGCACTTTGGGAGGCCGAGGAGTTCGAGACCAACCTGGGCAATACAAAATATTAGCTGGGCGTGCGCCTGTAGTCCCAGCTTTTTGGGAGACTGAAGCGCGAGAATCGCTTGAGCCTGGGAGGCGGAAGTTGCAGTGAGCAGAGATAGCGCCACCGCACACCTGGCTTGGTCTGCAGAAAGAAAATAGATGTGGAATGGGAGATATTGCTATGGCCACCTTTGGAAACATAATCCATCACATATTTGGGGATGAAATTCCTGGGTGATATAATCTAACTACATAAACAATGTTTTAGAAATGAAAATAGCATCTCAACAGTTTAACAGAGAACTAAAAGGAAAATAATCCATACCATGTATTTCAATATGTAAACGCTCAGATATGACTACACTACAAGATCCATTAAAATAGCCAGATCCTTGCACTGACTTAATGATTACATTTTGATTTAAGAAAAGATAATAAGTCATTCCATAAAAGAGATCTCCTGAAATGAACAGAGGTACAGGAGAACACTAGAACCATAACAAAAAATTGTGCTAGGATAAATGATAATGCATCAGATTTATTTCAACATAATTATAAAAAATCATCAAGACAAATTAGAGAAGAAATACAATAATCTTAAAAACGATCTGGGCCTTATCTATAAAGAATAAAATTTAAAAACCCATGTGACTACAGAAAACATTTCAATTATTTCAAAATTCTACCACATGTCAAAGCATATTCTTAGCCTCCAGTACTTAAAAAGACTTTGGAGATCACATCTTTCAGTGGCCAGAGAATATTGGATGGATTCTTTTAAAGAAGTAAATAAAAGATTATAGAGAAGTTACAATAGATGTCAGAGACATATCAGACCAAGATTGAAAACAATAGGCAACACGCAGATAATTTTAGAATGTGATTTTCACATAATTTCTTTTTATATGTAAATACAAGGATTAGTTCACGTATTTGTTAGTCAAATCCCGAACTCCTGTACCCGAGAAGGATGTTAAGTGTATATGGATCCATGTCACTTCCTCTGGAGATTTTCCGAGCAGATGTCATTCAAACTAGAGGGAGTGTAATAGTTGATCCTGGTATAAAGTCAAGGGCTTCAAATCCAGAAAATGTAGGATTCCTTCTGTTGGCCCAGTAGTTTGCTGCTGTTGCTAGGTTTGGGAACATTCGTGGTGATAGCTCCCCAATAACAGGGTGGCGAAGTACACCTCCAAATTCAAAGAAATCTCCAAGTGCCCTTTTAACCAGTGCTTTCCTCTGCTCAAAAACTGGAATCTCAGACACAACAGCAGGTAAAGCAATGGAACCATCCATGCACTGATCCAGGAACATTCCCACAGTGTAGTAGGTCGTCATCTGTGCTTTGTTGGCAACTACTTTAACTTGATCAAGTAGCTCACATGCAGGGATTCAAATTCTCCGAATAGAAATGTGAACATTAATCCTCCAACCCATGGTCTTGAGTTGATCCAATGTATAGCTGGCCCTGCATTATAGTTAATTAATAAATCAGCACTTTTACCATGCAAATGTCTTCCAATGGATATCATCATTGCCTTGAATTGTCTCTGTACTTGGAGGCTGTTGGTGCATATGGGGTCACTCGATCCAGCAGCAACGCCTATCAGAAGATCACAGCAGTGATGGAGAATCGATGACATCTCAAGGGCAGTGAAGTTAGGCATAACATCTTCGAATTTGCTAGCATAAAGAGTATCTGTTTCCTTGTTCTCATTCCCAATCACAATATTAGACCTTTTGCTCACACCAACACTGAGTAGTGCCTTGCGTAATCCATCGAATATAAAACACAAAAATACTAAGCTTGGGGTTGTAAGGTGAAAATGAGATCTGTGTGCTGGGTCTAGCATAGACTTTCTTGCTTTTTCAATGTCCTTGACATCTCCAATGCCAGGTTGGGGCTCCAATGCATCTGCTGGATACTGTCTGCTCTTCCCAGAGAGCTCAAATTTCCCTTGAAAGTAATGGAAGCTGCTCCCATTCACTGTATTGTCTTGTGGGCTGCTGGTCTATGGGTTCTTTCTTGGGCGGGATATCGTGGGTGATTGTTTCTGTGATTTTCACACAATTTTGTATTGCACTAAAAAAATACAGAGAATGGCAATAATACAAAATATTTTTGAAATAACATTTATTAATAAAATGTATTGTGACTTCTGTATTTCATTTACTTCTTAGTAATATTCAGTTTTTTAGTCTAGTAATTTCCAAATCTCCTCAATTACACAACATAATTTTTATTTTTCTTGCTTTTGCAATAAATGTGCAGCTGCATTAAAATCCTTTCCCCTGTAAACTGTGAATACCAGAGCTATGCCAACAGAGAGACGAGTCAACCACTGATTTCGAGCACAAAATTTAAGGGTTCCTTAAATTTAAACTCAATCATCAAGATCAGTAATATTGTAATGTCAACCTTTAAAACATCAAATTAATGCCAATAAAACCCCCTATAATGAACAAAACAAAACTTCTAACAAAGCCAGGATCCACAGAAAGAGTAAGTTGTTTGATGATTCTTATGCAATATCTTTATGTCGTTTAAGCTTTCCTCTACATAAGGACTTTTTCCTAAGTAAGGAGCCTTTTTGTGTAGCTTCTTTTAAAACTTTTCGATATTCCTTCACACGGAAGGCTGCTGACTTAGATCTGTATTAAAAGTACCACTGCCATATTTGTCATAGGATATTGTTCAGGGCATCTTTTGAAACTAGCAGGGCCGGAACATTTTTCATTGTGCAGAACCAAATCAAGCTTTGGGGCCATCAGGCAAACCTGGTCCCCTCCTCTAAGTGTCAGTGATACCCTATATCAAATCATTGTGTCAACCCCAGAATGCCCTCATGATTTCCAAACTCACTGGCCAAGTGCATGCAGCCCAGAGCAACTGGAGATAACACTGGAAAGGGAATGGAATCAAAGGAACATAGGTTGTACAGGTCTTTTGAAAACTGTCTTGGACATACATCTAAGGTTGATTTGAATTTTAATTAAGTCTCACTTAAAGGCTCTCTGGGGTTTTTAAAAATTAAAGTGCTTTTAAGATATAATATTGCATGCCCTGTTTTAAAACCTAGACAGTGATAAAAGCTTAAAGTTGACACAACCACCAAGCTAATCACAATATTCCATGCAAAAGTTCTCCACTGGAAGGGATAGAACATTACATGGTCATTCATTTCTTTCCTTTCTCGCCTCTTAATGCAATGAAAGGTTATTATGTTTTGTCATGTTTTTAACTGTCTTGTTCCAACTATAGGCTTTTGATCTGGGTGGTATGTTGTGCATCTCAATAAATATTTTTCTTTGCATTAATTCACAGTAATCCATTTTTATTCCTCAAAAGTCCATTTGGAGGTGGAAAAAGGTGAGATTTATGAAAAGAAATGTTCAAAACCTCCACACACTTGAAAACATCCTAAACCTTCATGGATTTTTCTGTGGTTCCCAATTCCGAAAGCACATATAAAGTATAGGGTTTTTGTTATTTCCTTATGTTTAGACAAAGACAAAATCTAATAGGTATTAAATCATGTTAACAAAAACCAATTTTTTTTTTTAGACAGGGTCTCATTTTATCACCCAGGCTGGAGTGCAGTGGCGCAATCTCTGCTCACAGCAGCCTCAACCTCCCTGTTCAAGTGATCCTCCTGCCCCACCCCACAAAGTAGCTGAGACTACAGGTACTTACCACTATGCCCATCTAATTTTTGTTTGTTTTCTGTAGAGACGGAGTTTTGTCACTTTGCCCAGGATGGTCTCTTAACTCCTGACCTCAAGTAGTCCGGCCTCATCCCACCCCATCGCCACCGCCTCCCAAAGTGCTGGGATTACAAGTATGAGCCACCGTACCTGGCCTGAAAACAATTTAAGGTGAGCCTGTGAGCTTTTGCCTCCACCGTTTTGGTGTGCTAATTAAATCACTTAAAGCTGCTTGTGTTTTACGACGTCCCTTCTTAATCCCATGTCTCAAACATTTAGTTAATATGCAACTAAACTTAACTAGCAGTTATAATCACAATTATCTGAGAATTCTTTATTGTGAATAGGTATCTTCGGTTATTAAAACCAAAGGTCTTAACTAAAAACGTCCCCGTATTCTTGATTATTTGGATAATTAGGGACTAGGGTTGGTGTTCTCAGTGCCATAAACCACAATGTGTTGCATACCTCTAAAGCACTTGGTGGGATGCTTTGGGTACTACAGGATTTTGTGAGTTTTCCAAAATATGTATCAGCCACAAAGGTGACAGTTAATTTAACTAATAAGTTGAACTGTCCATTTTTCTGTTGTCCTACAATCTCTATATTAGAATTCAAAAACATTGAAGAGTAAAACAGAAATGATAAATGATGTATCTTCTGAAATTTCTAAAATAAGCAATTTTCAAATGACCTGTGAAAATTAGATCCCTTATAAAATGCTGTAGTAGTAGTAGTAGGATACATATACTAAATAACCTTTCTAATATTTTTTGTTTTGTAAATAGAATAAATCCCTAGCAAGACTCTTTAAATCTAGTCATTAACTTATGTTCAGGACTATTTAATTAAGAAGCTTTTCTTCTCATTTGGCTATTTTTGATTCAAGAAACCAGGTCAAATACATAGTTTCTTGAATAATTTCTAGAATGAAAACTGTTGAAGTCTTTATACATATACTCTGAGTTCACAGCATTAAAATTATAGTAAAGTTGGATGTGGTGCCTTGTGCGTGTAATCTTAAGTGATTCAGGAAGCTAAGGTGGGAGGATCCCTTAAGTGCAAGAGTTCGAGACCAGCCTGGGCAACATAGCAAGACGCCATCTCTCTTAAAAGAAAAATAAATAAACACTTTTTTTTTTTTTTAATTAGCTGGGCATGGTGGCACACACCTGCAGTCCTAGCTACTTTGGAGGCTGAGGTAGGAGGATTGCTTAACTCCAGGAGCTCAAAGGTATAGCGAGCTATGATTGTACCACTACACTCCAGCCTGGGCAACAGAGTGAGATCCTGTCTCTAAAAGAAAAAAAAAGGTTGTATTAAAAACCCAGTCTATGATGCAAATTATGTTATTCTATATATACAGGTCTGTAGCCTACACTCTGCATTATGGGCAAAATTATGTTGCATCTGAAGCATGAAACTTGGTGAGGAGCAAATTCATCTAGCTATGGCCTCAGTAAATACATTCCTTTATTTAGGTTAGTAGTCATCACTAAAAACATTTACTAAGGACCTTCAATATATGGTTCCTTTTCTCAACAAGTTTAAGATGTAGAAAAAATATTATAGAAGATGATATAAAGTTATTGCTAGTCACATATAGTAAGATTATTTGTATAGAAATTCCAAAATGGAAAAGTAGAAAACAGATTTTTTCAAAGTATTTTCTAAGTTTAGTTCATAGATTCTTTAATTCCTATGGGAACACAAGATAATATATTACAAATATATAATAACAAGATCAGCAAAGACATACCTGTGAAAAGAGGCCAACTGCCTAGAAAATAAAGGTAGCCCCAGAGCCCACTGCTTGCCCAGGCTCCTTCCAAGATTAGGTACCTAATTTTGTATTTGTAATTTTGTATTCATTTTCTTTAAGAAAACCCCCCAAAATCATATAAGCTTTGGGCCCCTCAGAACCTGGATCTGCTCCAGTGGGGAGTAAACCATATGTGATTTGCATAAAATGAGTACAAGACTTGGCTGAGCTTTTTCGAAAAACTATAACCAGAGAGATATACCAGGTTCCTGGATGACAAAATTTGCTGCTATTAAAATGTCAAGTCTCTTGAAGTTTAACTGAGCGTTTCATGCAAGCACAATAAGTATCCCAACGGTATTTAGAAAACATAACAAAACTTTGGAAAAAGCTGGTAACCATCTGGAAAAAAATAAGAGTCACTAAGAAATTTTTGAAAAAGATTAATTAAATATGAGGTGCTGGGTTGAAGGAAATATTGCTGTTTTCCTGGGTACAAAACATATTCTAAACCTTCAGTAATTTAAACAATGTGGTCCTGGTGCAGGAATAGGCATGCTGACCAAAACAGACATTAGAACATGTAAAAAAAATTAATAATCAATAAAAGAGGCAGTATCAAGACAAATTCAGCAGCGAAGAGAGGAAAGTGTTAAGAAAAATGGTAATGGTACAACTGGTTAGATAATTGGGAGTAAAAATCCATTTTGATATTAATCTGACACCATCCACTCACATAACCTAAATAAAGTAATGAAATATTTTTAAAGAATATAGAAAAATTACAAGAAAATAAACATTAATATGACTCACACTCCTCAGAGGAATAGGGTTTTTGTTTTTTGTTTTTTGTTTCTTGAGATAGGGACTCGCTCTGTCGCCCAGGCTGGAGTGTAGTGGCACCATCATGGCTCACTATAGCTGCAACCTCCTGGGCTCAAGCAATCCTTCCTCCTCAGCCTCCTGAGTAGCTGGGACTGCAGGCATGTATTACCTTGCCCAGCCAAGGAATGGTTTTTTAAAAAGCTTAGTAACAATGAAACCAGTTACAAAATAAAATATTGACTGAACTGACAATGTAGAACTGAAAAATATTTGCACACAAAATTCATTACCCAAATTAAAGGCAAGCAATATATGGGGATTAAAATACTTTCTGCAAGTATACAAGGTTAACACTGACCTTATATAAAAAGCTCATGCAAAAAAAGCTTTGGTGTCAGCACCAAGACACCAATAGATTAACATGCATAAAAGCATGTATGAACACTCCGGCAATTCCTCAAAATACTCAGCATGGAGTTACCATAGGACCCACCAACTACACTCCTAGTTGTAGGCCCAAGACAAATGAAAATATGTGTCCACCCCAAAACTTGTACATAAATGTTCATAGAAACATTATTTATAACAGTCAAAAAGCAGAAACAACTCCAATATCCATCAACTGATAAATTGATAAATGACTTATATCTGTACAACAAAATGTTATTAGGCAATCAAGAAGAAAGCACTGTTTCAAGCTACAACATGGTTACCTCTAGAAAACTTACGTTACGTGAAAGAAGGCAGTCACAAAAGATCATATATTGTGTGACTTCATTTATATAAAATATCCAGAATAAGTAGACATATAGAGACAGAAAGTAGAGATAAGTGGTTGCCTAGGTCTGTAAAGGGGTTTGGGGGGAAATAAGGAGTGACTGATAATAGGTACATGATTCCTTGTTGGAGTGATGAAAATGTTGTAAAATTAATTGTGGTGATGGTTGCACAACCCTATGAATATACTAAAAAATCATTTAACTGTTTGCTTTAAATGGGTGAATTGTATGGTGTGTGTTATATCAATACACAATGTATAATATATTATCACAATACTATCTATATGATATCACTGTACATTATAAATAGCTTTATTATAAAGATGCTTTTTTAAAGTGTGTCCAGCCAAATCACAGAAGAAAGCAAGTTAACAGACTTGAGGAAATTATCAGCATTGCTAATAACCAAAGAAATACAAATTAAAGCAATAAGGAGACAGTATTAATATTTTTATCAAAGTAACTAGAAAATAGTTTTGACAATTCTCACTGCTGCTACAAGTATGGCAAAACAGACATTCTCATATATTGCCATTGGGAATGCAAATTGATACTGCCTTTTTTGAAGGCAGTTTAGCAACAGATATCAAGAACTCTAAATATATTAATACTCTGCCTCAGTGGTGTAGCTTATAAAAATGTCACACAAGAAATTCTTCCCAAATATGAAAGAAAAAAATCGTTCTATACAAAGACCCTCATTTCAGCATTATATACGACCATGAAGAAATGAAACATCTTAAATCTTTAGTAATAGTGGAATAGTTAAGTGTGCTGTGGTATACATACTAGATGAAATATTACACAGCAGTGAAAAATATTTTACATATTAATATGGGAAAATTAGTACAAGATATCAAGAGAAAATGATAGTACAAAATTATATGCCTAATATTGTTAGAACTACATTTAACTATTTTCTTTTTTATATTTTCAGATTATCTTTAATAAACTATACTTAAATTTTTCTTAATATCTAAGAAAAATAAAACAGTAACAACAGTGTAAAGCACAATATGATGTGTGGTTTATGCCATAATGAGAACAAGATATTCCGAGAAGAGTTTCAAACTCAGTGTTTCAATATTTTATCTGCAAGTGACTGTGCTTCTATGATTTTTTTTACCCCAATAAAAGTCATTCAGTGAAACCCAATTTAGGGACACCTCATCTGGCATGTACTAACTAATCACCAAAAAAAAAAAAAAACTAGTGATAACATATACCTCAATCCATATATGTGATGTATTTTTCTTTCACTCTATTTTACAACTATATTTACAGTAAACACAGTCTTCAAACCGCTTCAATCTAGATTTGTTAAGTATTTTAAAACTAAAGATAATATATAACCTGCTTTGAATTATCACCAACAGACTCAAACAGGGCAACAATTTCTTTAAGGAAAACAAGCTACTGTATCAAAATGAGAATACTTTCCATTCTTTTGAAAAAATATCTAGGTGGCAACATTCTATGTACAATGGGTAATTTACTTGTGGTTTTATTTCAAAAACTTAGAATATTCCTTTGAAATATGTAATTCTCATCATTGGTAGTTTGGCACACGAAACTCTCCTAAAAAGATAGGTTACATATATAATACAATGAAGACTGAGGAAGGACAGGATTTTAGTGAAAAGTTGCAGTAATTTATAAATTGTGCTAATACAATTAGAGTATAAGACTTCAGAAATTTTAACTTGATTTTCAAAACACTGGAAGTTTAATCAAGAATCATGAAGTACTTCTTGCCCTATGTCCACTCCATCTCCGTTTTGCCAAAATCCACATAATCAAAATGTTGTATGATTTTTCTTAAGACTGTTTTATTGAGATCAAAAACTAAGTAAGTACACTTGAGCCTCAAGTCTAAAACACAAAACTTGTGCGCTGCCTCATTTTACCTTAACTTAGCCAATCAGAATCCAATGTTGCCTGGGAAACCCTCTCATGCTTATTACAATAACAATTCTGTTGCTTGATTTTTAAAGCAATAAATACATATACATACTCAGAAATTTTTTATACATATATATATATATATATTTTTTTTTTTCTCTTTTTTTGAGGCAGTCTCGCTCTGTCGTTGCAACCTTCTCCTCCTGGGTTCAAGTGATTCTCCTGCCTCAGCCTCCTGAGTATCTGAGATTACAGGCACGTGCCACCACGCCCAGCTAATTTTCCTCTTTTTAGTAGAGACAAGGTTTTACCATGTTGACCAGGCTGGTCCCAA